AAAGAACAGACATGAAACATGCGGGTTAAAACATTAACATTAGAAAGACATGAAACGTGCGGGTTAAACAACATTTAAGAAAGAAAACAGACATGAAACATGCGGGTTAAACAACATTATAGAGATAGCGTAAGAAAGAACAGACATGAAACATGCGGGTTAAACAACATTACAGAGAACATATAAGAAAGAACAGACATGAAACATGCGGGTTAAACAACATTACAGAGAACATATAAAAAAGAACAGACATGAAACATGCGGGTTAAACAACATTACAGAGAACATATAAGAAAGAACAGACATGAAACATGCGGGTTAAACAACATTACAGAGAACATATAAGAAAGAACAGACATGAAACATGCGGGTTAAACAACATTACAGAGAACATATAAAAAAGAACAGACATGAAACATGCGGGTTAAACAACATTACAGAGAACATATAAGAAAGAACAGACATGAAACATGCGGGTTAAACAACATTATAGAGATACATATAAGAAAGAACAGACATGAAACATGCGGAGTTAAACAAACATTAAACAAGATAGCGTAAGAAAGAACAGACATGAAACGTGCGGGTTAAACAACATTACAGAGAACATATAAGAAAGAACAGACATGAAACATGCGGGTTAAACAACATTATAGAGATAGCGTAAGAAAGAACAGACATGAAACATCCGGGTTAAACAACATTACAGAGAACATATAAAAAAGAACAGACATGAAACATGCGGGTTAAACAACATTACAGAGAACATATAAAAAAGAACAGACATGAAACATGCGGGTTAAACAACATTACAGAGAACATATACAGAGAAACATATATTAAAGATAGCGTAAGAAAACAGACATGAAACATGCGGGTTAAACAACATTACAGAGAACAGCGTAAAAAAGAACAGACATGAAACATGCGGGTTAAACAACATTACAGAGAACATATAAGAAAGAACAGACATGAAACATGCGGGTTAAACAACATTATAGAGATAGCGACATGAAAACATGCGGGTTTAAACAACATTATAGAGATACAGACATGAAACATCGTGCGGGTTTAAACAACATTACAGAGAACATATAAAAAAGAACAGACATGAAACATGCGGGTTATAACAACATTAAACAACATTACAGAGAACATATAAGAAAGAACAGACATGAAACATGCGGGTTAAACAACATTACAGAGAACATATAAAAAAGAACAGACATGAAACATGCGGGTTAAACAACATTACAGAGAACATATAAAAAAGAACAGACATGAGTAAACAACATTACAGAGAACATATAAAAAAGAACAGACATGAAACATGCGGGTTAAACAACATTATAGAGATAGCGTAAGAAAGAACAGACATGAAACATGCGGGTTAAACAACATTACAGAGAACATATAAAAAAGAACAGACGTGAAACATGCGGGTTAAACAACATTATAGAGATGGCGTAAGAAAGAACAGACATGAAACATGCGGGTTAAACAACATTACAGAGAACATATAAGAAAGAACAGACATGAAACATGCGGGTTAAACAACATTATAGAGATAGCGTAAGAAAGAACAGACATGAAACATCCGGGTTAAACAACATTACAGAGAACATATAAAAAAGAACAGACATGAAACATGCGGGTTAAACAACATTACAGAGAACATATAAGAAAGAACAGACATGAAACATGCGGGTTAAACAACACTATAGAGAACATATAAGAAAGAACAAAAGTAAAATATTTGAGTTTTTATGGGCACTTTAGAAAACACGTCATATTGGTCATATAGGTATCTTGCGGTTTAAAAAGGACATTTAAAAGAAGGGGCAAAAAAGGAGGTAACTAAACAAGTAATTTATATCTACGGCAAATCTCTGATGGTTCACATAGCTGGGCGTCCGCTTTGTGCAGAGACAGGTTTTAATATAGGACATCTAAATAAGACAGGCTGGTCATATAAACAGACAGGCATATAGACAGACAAGCAGACACTCATAAAGACAGACAATTAAGCAGTCGGATTGACTGGCTGATAGAGATTCAACGGTAGTCAGAGAAAACAAATAAGAACTGCAGTTAAAAGAATAAGAACAGTTAGTTGCGTATCATTTACAGGATTTTGCAGAACCAACACTAGCATTTATTGACTGTTGAGGTTTTTCTAGGCAAAGTTAATGTTGAGTAAGTTTGCCACCCTGAACGGTCAGCTCTTGGTACCACTGTCCAAACCAACGCAAGACAAATTTTTTGCAGCTGGGAATCGAACCCGGTACCCCAGCATTACGAAACGAGTTAGGCGACCGATGAATACAACAATAAACTTTCTGAAAGACAGACAAAACAGGCAGGAGTGGACTGTCAGCATGCAGAAAACATAAAGATAGATAGTATTTTAAAAAGACGGGACAGACAGACTGGCTGAAGTATGTCTGCAAGTAATGATGGATGTATTCTGACAGTCACTACAGAACTGACTTAACTGAAGGACTCAAGTTCACTCCAGTGTTGTCCCCGAGGCCGTGTCTCGTGAAAGCCTGTACTGAAATCAATGGCCCGATCTTTTCTTGCAAGTTCTAATTTTATCGTGTATGTTTTTGTTCAACTGTTAATTTATTCTGAGCTGTTCAATAGCATACTTTATTGAGTCGAAAAACTCTTTTCGTGTCGCAGCAGGAACTAATCTCCAGGATTGGGCAGTGCCGTGTTGCTGAGTGGGCGCTTACACGAAAGCTCTCCGCTGCTGGATTCACAAGTCTGTTGTAGAAGTTGCCTAGGGACCGTAGAGCCGGAACCGGGGATCTTCGGGATGTTGTTCCATCCTAACAAGACTTAGTCGGGATAGGGGGGCTTATCACGCACACCTGTCAAGGTGCCATTTAGGTATCGCTGACAAGACACGCCCCCTATTGTGTGTGTTCAATCTTCAGGCTAGCTGTCTGCGAAGATCTACAGAATACGACAGCTCTACTATATACGAAAAAAAGAAATGAAATAGATTAACCGATATTCATTTGCACCCACTGACCACAACATTCTTCTTCATCATTCAGAGCCCTTGAGGTTCATAGTCGCTGATATCCCTGGCCTGAATCAATCTCCGTGACCGGTCTTCTCTTTTTTTTTGTTTTTTTTTTGGTGACTGCACCTGCTTTAGGTCTGCCCGATTTTTTTCTATTCTCCAGCCGTTTCTTGGTCTGCCCTTTGGTGACTGCTCCCATTTAACTCCTTTGTGTACGCAATTTTCGCTCTATATTACCTGTCCAGTCAATAAGTTCACATATCTGGGAGCAATCATCAGATGGAAAATGTGTGACAGAGATTAAAAGCAGAATAGGTCAAGCGGAAACTGCATTTCAGAAAATGAAAAATATCTTATGCAATAAATCGCTCACATTTAATATCAGAAAGAGGGTTCTTCAATTTACATAAAACCTGTTCTGCTGTATGCCAGCGAATCTTGGAATGTCAGTAAACAAATTTAAAAGAATTTGGAAGCAACAGAGATGTGGTTTCTGAGACGAATGTTACGAATACCTTGGACGGCCAGAGTAACTAACAATTGCTTGAAAGAAGCTAATGAAAGTAGATCTCTATATACAACAATAAGAAAGAGACAAACACTGTTCTTTGGCTACATAATGACAAGAGAGACATTGGAAAACATAGCGACAACTGGAAGATCAGTGGAAAAAGAGGTAAAGTCACACCAAGAAAGTGATGCAGGATGGGCTAAAACGATGGCATAGAGGGATATCATCAAGAGAGCTGTTCCAGTCATCCAGGGATCATGATCTGTGCCATTTGGCAGGGCCCATGATGATGATGATTACCTGTCCTCCTCCCCCCCCCTCTCTCTCTCTCTCTCTCTCTCTCTCTCTCTCTCTCTCTCTCTCTCTCTCTCTGCTCAACCATCGCTCTTATTGCCTTCAGTAATTCGTAGTGATTTTAAACATACATTTCCTCTTGGTTTCTCACTGTCGATTCTCCACTGTTGACATCTTTGATGTGTCCAAAAGATTCGTTGTAAGTCTCTGTTCTCTCTCGAAAGTCTATGATTATACTCTTGACGTTAAACCCTCAGAGCCATACAGTGTTTGATCAACTGTAATCTCGGTGGTAAGAGATTGAACGTCTGAATGCATCTACACGGCTGGTGTAGGACAACGTATCTATTTTCTCGGTATGTTGAAGCAGTCGAATAGTGTACCCAGTACATTTAAGATTTACTCAAGTACTTTACTGTTATCTGGTGTTTATGTGTGACAGAATTTGTATTGTTATCCGTCCTATCTATTGTTACTATTCCTTAGTTAGTCGTTAGTCAGGCGTTAGTTAGTCGTTAGTTAGGCATTAGCTACTCGTTGGTTAGTTGTTAGTCGTTAGTTAGTCCTTAGTTAGGCGTTAGTTAGTCGTTTGTTAGTCAATACTTAGGCGTTAGTTTGTCGTTGGTTAGTCGTTATAGACGTTAGTTAGTCGTTAGTTATCGTCACTTAGGCTTTAATTAGTCGTAAGTTAGTCGTAAGTTAGTCGTTAGTGAGTTGTTAGTTAATCGTTAGTTAGTCATTAGTTACTCGTTAGTTTGTCTTTAATAAGTGGTTAGTAAATCGTTAGTTAGTCGTTAGTTAGTCATTAGTCAGTCGTTAGTCGCGGTTCCAACTTCCCTGTGAACGGGGTTCCCTATAGCTGATGCACTCCTCTATCAGTAGACATGACACAGGCTATCCTTGACCGCGCCATTTGAAAACTCGCGAGAAGCTTACCAGTCCCCTCTCTAATTATTGCCATGTATTGTGTGGATTCTAAATATGGCTACACTGCTAGTAATTGTCAAATAAAAGTCTGTTTTGAAATATTCTTTAATTTTTGTTTTGTTTTTACCTTCACCAGCTGACATAAGAGTGGGGAATGGAGCACCATAAAAAAAGCCAGTCTTCTTAAACCATCTTCCTGAAAACGACACAAACATAAAAGATCATTCCAGAATTATGCTGCCTCTTCTAAATATTCCAGCCATGGCCTGCAGAATTCTGCAATCCTGTCACAGATTGATCCTGGCATCTGTGTCCACACTGATGATCCTTGATGTTAGTGGCGTTCTTTCAATGGCAGATGCATCTATTGTGGCTAACAATAGTGTCTTACACGCAATATCGTTAGAAAACAAAACTTGTACCACGTATGTGGCGCCGTGCAAAGAAGGCCTCCTTCTTCCAATGTGGAAACCTCAAGGCAACCTCAGCGCTGGCGACAAAGCTGCAAGAGCTATCGTCTACATGGCCGCGATGATCTACATGTTTCTGGGAGTGTCTATCGTTGCTGACCGCTTCATGGCCGCCATTGAAGTCATCACCTCCAAGGAGAAGGAGATCACGGTCAAGAAACCAGGAGGAGGCACCACAGTGGTCAGTGTCAGGATATGGAACGAAACTGTGTCTAATCTAACTTTGATGGCGTTAGGCTCCTCGGCGCCGGAGATTCTTTTGTCAGTTATTGAGATTTGCGGAAACAAGTTTGAGGCTGGAGATTTGGGTCCGAGTACAATCGTCGGCAGTGCCGCATACAACCTCTTCGTCATCATAGCTATTTGTGTTCACGTGGTACCCAATGATGAGGTTCGACGTATCAAACATCTTCGTGTGTTCTTCATCACCGCTACCTGGAGCATCTTCGCCTATCTCTGGCTGTATTTCATCCTGTCGGTGACCAGCCAAGGCATCGTGGAGATCTGGGAAGCCGTCCTGACCTTCCTGTTCTTCCCCGGCACCGTTATCACGGCCTACATCGCTGACAGGAAACTCCTGGTCTACAAATACCTGTCCAAAAAGTACAGCACTAGCCACACCAAGGGTGTGGTCAGGCAAACCGAAGGCTTACACGAAACGGAAATGGCCGATGGTAAGATCATCCAGAAGACGGAGGAGGTCATCTTCAAGGGCATTGATCTCCAGGATTCTGATGTCAAGGAATTCGAGCAGCACAGACGAGACTTTATCGAGATCTTGCGGGAACTGCGAAAGAAGCACCCACATTTGGATATGAAGACACTGGAAGAGATGGCAGAATACGAGGCGGTGAACAGAGGGCCCAAGTCGAGGGCATTCTACAGAATTCAGGCAACAAGGCAACTAACAGGAGGCGGTAAAGTCATCAAAAAAGCCAAAATTGAAAGTAGATTGAGTGAACATGATATTAAACAAGAATCAGATACGGACAACAAGCTTACCAAAGTATTCTTTGATCCCGGCCACTACACTGTGATGGAAAATGTTGGTTCGTTTAACGTTAATGTCACCAGAGAAGGCGGAGACTTGTCCAAAACCCTGTACGTGGACTATCGTACTGAAGACGGCACAGCAACGGCAGGAGATGATTACATTGCTGCAGAAGGCACTCTTGTCTTCCAACCTTATGAAAAACACAAGCAGTTTGAAATTACCATTCTGGATGACGACATCTTTGAAGAGGACGAGCACTTCTACGTCCATCTGACCAATGTCCGGCTAGGTGACCATGAAGGGATGTTCATCTCTGGCGAAGAACGGGCCCAGCTGGTCACTCCTTTCATCGCAACGGTGATGATTCTGGATGATGATCACCCGGGAATCTTTCACTTCGAGGATCGAGAGATGACCATCCCTGAAAACATTGGAGAAGTTCTCGTCAAAGTCTGTAGATCATCCGGAGCGAGGGGTTGTGTCAGGATTCCATTCCACGCCATCGACGGGACGGCCAAATTCGGAAAGGATTACGAATTGGTCTCAGGGGAGATTTTCTTTGACAATGATGAAGCTGAGTGAGTACATATGTGTTGATGATGTATTGTGAGTGTGTTATGTGTACATCCACTTTGCTATCTAATCTACACTTGAATCCGCAATGATACTGGTGCCATTCTCATCATGACGATGGATAACATTTTACTGTACACGGATTACTAAATATCCAATTAGGTGTCGTCTCCGCAGGGAAGGTTGGCAGCAACTGATCTCCAACTCGCGCTGCCTTTTGCTAGGGATATTTATTTTATGAAACCGCTAATCGACATTCCTTGATGTTATCCTCCCACTTGTATCGATGTCTGTTTCTTGCTCGTTTGCCTTTACTGTTGCCTCCAGTGATTTTTTTCCTAAATGAAATTGTTATATCATTTAATGTAGCCAAAATATTTTAGTTGTCCTAGTGTTATTGCCACTAGCAACTCTATTTCAATTGCCAGTATCTTTAGAATGTCAGTGTTGGGTTATGTATATTTCCTTGAAACGCGACCTTTAGCTCGTCACTGTGAACTTAGTTCAGGAAACAACAGCCTGGGGTAATACACATGTCAGAGGATGAACACAAGTCACCTACACCTACAGCAATGACTTGAAGTGCCCAAATCCTTGACCAATAAAGATTTAGATGTGGTGGAGAACTGCCGCTGAGATACCTATCAACGTCTGGAAGTGTTTTCTTTAGCCAAGTATGGATATCAATATTTTCTCAACCGGTTACAATATTTTGCTGCGGTCAATATCATTCTATTTCAAGCCAGTGATGTTTGAGTACATGGCAACATCTTTGACAGGTAGTCCTTATGTTTGTTGTTGTGTGTTTTTTAACGTTATTGTTTCCTTCCGGAATGCCAACATTCGTTTACGGTGTTTAAAGGTTCGCATGCCCAGCTCTCTAGCGTAGTTGGCTAAACCTGACATAGCGGTGACCGGGCGACTTTCTCCTTGTGGTCCGAGTTTACTCCCGGGGGTAGGCAGAAAAGCCACATTTCTCCCAGATTTACGGTACCTATCATGGAATCAAGGCCGAAGGGTTGCGATATCCATAGTACTAAGTCAAGTTCGCATCTACAGTAAAAGACAGGTGTTAGGAGGAAAAATGGGGGAAGGAGGGTGGAATTAGAAACCCAAACATTCCACAGACACATATTTACTGAAATCAACAACTCGTGTGTGTAAGAATCTCCCATTACATGATTCATGTTGCACTGAAAGTGTCTGTAAATATTCAATGTTTTCTTTCATTCTTCAACTATTTTCTTTTCTCTCAGCTACAAGAGCAGACATATTCTGATTGGTGTTTTATTTAATTTTATATCTGACAAACATTCCTACTGAATGGCTTTCTGCCACGTCCCTTGTTACTGTCTTGCTTTCTCTCCAGCTGAACAGGTATTTGTGTTTCCACCAGCGTTCAATTGATCTATTTGATCTCGTTTCTGAGGTCCAGTCAGTTCCTGCGACTTAATTGGATATTGACCTGTTTGTTATAGTAGAAAGGGCAGGCCGTGAGAAGAAGAGGTCGCGATGGAAGGTTTGACCGTGTTGACTAGGTTATTGTGTCAATGATGGCAGGGAATAACCGTGTCTATGTCTGGATGTTGTTGCTGGATTCTTTGATGTCAGAAGCCAACAGTATCCCTTCTGTTTTATCTGATGATCACTTAATTGGAACCTGACGTCCTTGGATGCCTCCATATACATATGTTATAATTCTTGCTTGTAGTAGTCCTTCTCGAACGATTATATTAGTGGTTAGAGAGAGAGAGAGAGAGAGAGAGAGAGAGAGAGAGAGAGAGAGAGAGAGAGAGAGAGAGAGAGAGAGAGAGAACATAAAGTGGAAACTGTCAGTCTTACAAGAACAAATTCACTAGTGACATAATGATGATTATAATATCATTGATGTCTGCATCTCTATCAGATATTTTCTCTGGTCATTCATGTCTGCATCTCTATCAGATATTTTCTCTGGTCATTCATGTCTGCATCTCTATCAGATATTATCTCTGGTCATTCATGTCTGCATCTCTATTAGATATTATCTCTGGTCATTCGTGTCTGCATCTCTATCAGATATTATCTCTGGTCATTCCTGTCTGCATCACTATCAGATATTATCTCTGGTCATTCGTGTCTGCGTCTCTATCAGATATTATCTCTGGTCATTCATGTCTGCATCTCTGTCAGATATTATTTCTGGTCATTCGTGTCTGCATCTCTGTCAGATATTATCTCTGGTTATTCATGTCTGCATCTCTATCAGATATTATATCTGGTCATTCATGTCTGCATCACTATCAGATATTATCTCTGGTCATTTGTGTCTGCATCTCTGTCAGATATTATCTCTGGTTATTCATGTCTGCATCTCTATCAGATATTATATCTGGTCATTCATGTCTGCATCTCTATCAGATATTATCTCTGGTCATTCATGTCTGCATCTCTGTCAGATATTATTTCTGGTCATTCGTGTCTGCATCTCTGTCAGATATTATCTCTGGTTATTCATGTCTGCATCTCTATCAGATATTATATCTGGTCATTCATGTCTGCATCTCTATCAGATATTATCTCTGGTCATTTGTGTCTGCATCTCTGACATATCTTTGGCTTAATTCAAGAAACAAATTATCTCGTGTTTTGTTGAGTGCATCTATATAAAAAAATGTTACTCTTGTCATCCTTATTCGTCGCTCTAAAAAATTACTTTTGTCTTTCTTGTACGTTTCTCTAAAAGATGTTAACTCTTGCCATCCTTTTCCGTCGCTCTAAAAAATTACTTTTGCAATTCTTGCACGTTTCTCTAAAAGATGTTTACTCTTGTCATCCTTATCCGTCGCTCTAAAAAATTACTGTTGTCATTCTTGCACGTTTCTCTAAAAGATGTTAACTCTTGCCATCCCTGCCTGAACTATTGAGAGATAGTGACTTTTATTTTTGCTTGAATCTCTAAAAGTCAATTATGAAAAATCTGTCGCAGTTTGGTTTTGTCTGTCCCCTAGGTTTGATGTCTATGCCGATAAAAAAGACTGCCGGATGGCCAAATAGTGAATAAGCTAATAGTCGAAACAGAGTTTTACTGAGCTTCAAACACACATACATTGAAAAGCTAGTCGGATAAACGAGCTCTAGACCACACGTTCCACTCTTACAAAATAATATTTAAAAAAGAAATGTCAATTAAGCTGTGGTCTACTCGGGTGAATCTGTCACCAGGGGTGAGCGAAGTGCACCGGCGTCGCGGCGAGCGCAGAGGGAAAAGCTATTAGGGATAAAGTATTGGTTTTGCTGTTACAAGCAGCAACCTCGCAATGGATACCTGGCTGCTACAAGGGCAATGCTATGGCTTGGAACTCTAGAATTCATACATGCGTGCACACTGAGCGATTCAATGAATATGCTCAAGAAAATCCAAGTCGGCTTTATCAGATATGAATAGACACTTTCATTAAATGTAACAACTAACACAACTTTTATCTTTGTGTCGGGCCATGCGGGTGTTCAATGCAACGAGCGTGTAAATTATTTGGCCGGCAAGGCGGTTACCACGATCAGCCCGGTAAAGGACATGAGGGATGTCATCAATGCCATACAAGCTGCACATCGTGAAGAAGATAACGACAACAAGCAGGATTCTATATCCTAGTCCATGTTGGTGGACACGGGGTTGCATACTGGGGCAGCCAGATGTAAATATTTCACCTGACATAAAACGTCTCATTAATCAGAACGGGTCTGGTGAGTCGTTTTAACTCTAGGTAGCTAGTGAGGGAAAGACATGAGCACTTGTGGATCTGCGCGGTGTGATATCATGATATAACTCACTAATCACTTATCATTAAAAAACCAGGAGGGTTGCGCCACGAATTATTAATTGACATCATCACAAGGCTGCAATATGCCGGTACTCGTCATGCTAGATTGAACTTACGGAGTGAAATCAAACCGCGAACCGTATCGACCGGCTACGTAAGACGGCAATGAGTAACCTCAGGTTCCCTCGCTTGCTATTGCACGATACGGCACAGAAGAGCCGGCACAATCGATACCCAGAGAATGGGCGGTGTGAAGCAATATCTCAGATACGTGTTAGTTTACAATCAATTGGAGAAGTGTATGGTTGCTAGGTGAGGGTTGTTGTAGTTATTTCAGTTGTTGGAGCCGCTGTCGTCACTTGCGCTTTTTTCAAATACTACTACTGCTACTGCTGCTGCTACGAATACTAAAGGAACTACAGTACTACATGTAATATTGCCACACCAACAGCTGCTACAACAACAAAAACTACAACAGTTACTTCAACAACTACCACTACTGCGACTAATTTTACTGCAGCTTCTTCTACTGCTACTGCCACTACTACTTACAGGACTACTTTACTACTATTACTGCTACTACTTCTACTGCTACTGCCACTACTACTTACAGGACTACTTTACTACTATTACTGCTACTACTTCTACTGCTACTGCCACTACTACTTACAGGACTACTTTACTACTATTACTGCCACTACTACTTACAGCACTACTTTACTACTATTACTGCTACTACTACTTACAGGACTACTTTACTACTATTACTGCTACTACTACTTACAGGACTACTTTACTACTATTACTGCTACTACTTCTTACAGCACTACTTTACTACTATTACTGCTACTACTTCTACTGCTACTGCCACTACTACTTACAGGACTACTTTACTACTATTACTGCTACTACTACTTACAGCACTACTTTACTACTATTACTGCTACTACTACTTACAGCACTACTTTACTACTATTACTGCTACTACTACTTACAGCACTACTTTACTACTATTACTGCTACTACTACTTACAGCACTACTTTACTACTATTACTGCTACTACTACTTACAGCACTACTTTACTACTATTACTGCTACTACTACTTACAGCACTACTTTACTACTATTACTGCTACTACTACTTACAGCACTACTATTACTGCTACTACTACTTACAGCACTACTATTACTGCTACTACTA